CTGGCTGTGTTTGAGAATGCTTTATGCAGCCATAAATGGTCAGGGATGTAGGCAATCATTTTTGAGAGAGGCTATACCTCTGTAAATATTTATTTTGAGAGGATTTACGTAATATTTTAAATTCATTACGCAAATCAACATTCTGTTCTGTCATTCATTTGTTAGTGAGCTGAAGTGGCTCGGTGGCGGAATGGTTTAGTACTTCGGTACCTAATTATTGCAATACCGACACAGCGATCATGGGTTCGAGACTGGGTATGGGAAATTTTTCACTTGTTCTTTTTCGAATCATATGTACTGGAAATGAGGCTCACAGCCTTCCTTTGTAGGCTACAGACAGAAATGTCATCAAAGGAGTGGTTCGGATCCCACTATAAATTGTAGGTCTAGGTTTGAGTGCAGTGGTTTGGCGCATCCTCACTCGTTAAACTCTCATTAGCTGCGAATCGCCCTAGCGCACCTCTGGATCACAATTGATCTGAATAGGTAAAGGTTTTTTTTTTTTTTTTTTTTTTTTTTTTTTTTTTTTTTTTTTTTGTTCTGTCATTCATTCATAATTCTATTTTAAATTCCATTTTGAATTGCAAGCTTCCTTCATGTGCGACTATTTCTGGTCATACGATTTATATAAGCAATATTCATTGCGTCTGATTGACGCGTCACAAGGCTGTCTCATAACCACATGCCTGATGAATTATTTTGATAAAAATCATATGTTTAGATGTGTACATCACGTCTTCAAAACTGTATGTCATTTGCATTCCATTTCATAACTCAGTCTTGTCAAAATGAACATCTGATTCTGGTCTGACATGAAGTTATTTTCGTATTTATTAATTCAAATTCAATTGGTTTAATCAGTCTTATTCAGCAAATAAAGGAAATAATCGATTATTGAGAAAAAGTTTGTGTGATTTTGAAGGCAATCAAGCTTGAGGGATGATAAATGATTTTTTTTGAAGAATGAGAAAGTGTTTGTACAAACTTTTTGTCATGCTTTACCTTCCGTTTTACTTTCTTCTGTTTTTTTCATTCATAAACTTTTGTGTACGTTTGCGTCATCTCTTAAAGATTAAAAAAATGAATGGAATTGAAAAATTCTTTAAGCAAACTTCTTAAAAGTGAGGGCCTTATAAAATATATCAAATTAGCTTCAGTTTCATGACATTTACAAATTTTTATGAATTTATTTATTCAAGAAACTTTTCACAAGCACTAGTTAATCAAATTATTCAGACGAAATACCACAAAAAATAAATAAGAAACTTTTAAAGGCCAGATAAGTTCCATGCATGAGAAAATTTCTCCGAGCTGTACATGAATGTGTCATTTGTGTAGTGACACAGTTATTTGATGTATAAAAATCATTCTTCGTACAACAGTTCTGAAACATATCACTAATTGTTGTACAACAGTTGCACGTTTCTAAGAAATCTTAAAACAACACTTGCGAATATCTTTAAGTTATATCTCGCAAATGATTTGCTTGCCTTATAATCTCATACCACAGTTGCTAGCCATATAAATTGTCACACACAACAGTTGCTCGCATTATAATTTGTCACACACAACAGTTGCTCGCCATATAATTTGTCACACACAACAGTTGCTCGCCATATAATTTGTCACACAAAACAGTTGCTCACCATAAAACTTTCAAAACAACAGTTGCTTGCCACAATTTTTTTACAGCATAATTTTACAGCATTTTTTCTATCTCAATCATTAACGGAAAGAAATCCTTGACTGTGTATTTCGGATGACTAAAAAGAAGCGAGAGATTTGGGGGTCAAGAGTATAAGAAGCAGATTGATTTAGTGATCACTGTAGATTGAAAATGCGCCACTCCTCCTTACTTATGTAAAAAGTTCTGTAATTTACTGTTATTTCTCTTGTGTATTTTCTCTTTCCTCAATTTTATCGCCTTCATCCCCTAGCCTCTCTTATGTCTTCTTCTTACTTACAAAAAATAATAAATAGAATTTAATTTATTTCGTAGCTTCTGTGGAAATCCCCTTGAATTCTCATTTGTACAAGGATGTAAGAAGTAGTCAAGAGCAAATATATTAATTCTGTTTTGGATTTTAAGACTTTGGTACTTGATGATTCCTAAACTCCTTGTTGAAATAACAACAACAAATTTGTGATGCTTTGATACGTATCCAATTATTATGTTTTCTTTATCGAAGTGAAGCTTTGGGGTTTTATAAGCTTTCCATTATGTTATAAGATTTTGATGTCGAAAATGCATGTTGTTTTTAGTCTTTTGTGTCTGTCATAGAAAACCTATATTAATTACCATAAATTTATTCTTCTGAAGCTCATTTAAATAAAAAGGATGTAGACTTTATTTAACGTCAGCAATATTTGATGATGAATATTCAGTTCTGCTAGAGCATCGAGAAAGTTTAATATGCTTTTTAATTTATTCCATCTCAAGACTGATGGAACTAGAGCTTTTTTGAAATAGATTGAGATTTTTGCTGACTTATGTCACTCATAATAAGGATTAACTTTGGAATTAAAATTCATTTTTGTTGTATTTCTTGAGTTAAAAATGTTTTTTTGTGAATGGATGTATTGCTATGATAAGAGTTCTGTGGACATGCATTTGGAAACTAATGGTTATGCTTTATTCATGTTATACAATTAAAACATCTGCATCCATTAGCATGATTGATTTAGTAGAGGAGAATTTAAGAATTCCTTCAAAAAAATAGAAGCTCCTGCAATAGAATAAAATTTTCAGACAGTCGACATTTATAAATAGAGTAACTCGATTTTTTGTCAAAATTTACCTATTCCATCCATTTTCTCAATAGTCTTACCTGCACTGTGTAGGTGTTATTTACCTTTTTCTCACAAATGTACAGCAGCAATCCAACTGAAAAAATTTTCAACCCTTCTTTTGCGTCAGTGTAAATATGTTCATACCCGTAAAAATTAAATAAAAGAGTGTAAGCTTCTTTTGTCTACCAAAAGGTGTAAAATTTTCCACTTGTAAGTTTTATTTGCAAAAATATTTTTTATCTCTTGCATAAATAGAAAAATAAAAGTTATCTTCATTTATATTCGTTGAAATGAGTTTTGAAATAAATGAAAACATTTGATGCTAGGCACTTATTGTTATAGTCATTGTATCTAAGATAGGAATTCTTTCTCTTTTTGTTATCAAATTTAATATTTGAATTTTTCATGGATTTTTTGAATCTTTTTGAAAATAAACATAATGTAGTTTCCAGCATAAAATAGGCTGCATATGGGGTCAACACTGGTTAGAAGCTACTAATACTTAAACTTAGCTTAGGATATAGACTTCCGAACTCAATTTTTTTTACAGGGTAATTAAGGGTACTCTGGGTACTTCTGTGCCAAAGGTCCTGGGTTCAATCCCAGGCCATGTCTAATTTTCGAAGCTCTTTTTCCATTTCACCGTTCTAGTTACGAAGCTCGGTTCGTTTGTTGGGTGTAGTATTGATGTCTTTGGCATAGAATATGCCTCCTATGCTAGGTATACAAGGTTTTACTAGCATCTGGATGACTTCTTTACGGAATCTTGCGCACACGAATTGTGACTAGGTTCATTGCAGGGTACATCAGGTCTTATGACGTACTCGTGTCTTTGCAATGTGCAGAGCTTACATGTGGTTCGGATCCCACTATAAACTGTAGGTCTAAAGGGTGTGGTACAATAGATTCTGTTCTAATTTGAATTGCAGTGCCTCCAGCTGTAAGGCTGGGCTCTTCACACATTATTAAGGGTACTCTGCCCTAGTCATAGTCAATTGTTATTCATACTTTTGATTAAAGAGAACTCTTGGTAGTCCTGGAAACCGGCCCTGGGTTTCAACTAATCCAGATTGCCAAGACAGTTTAGAATCGAAAATTGACACCAGCCACAAAAGTTTAAAATGCTGACGCTGAACCTAGTATGTATATTTAACTGATTAAAATCAAAAAAGACTATAGATGTTCAAATCTTGATTTATAAGTTGAATGAAATTTAATAATTACTAGAATCGAGGACCTCAAGAGTAAAAGGTCAACCTATAATTGAAGTATTTTTCTTCTTTGAACCAAAGCATTTTCACCAATAAGTCTGAAATCTGCAGGGTCATAGCTAGTCATCATCTTTAATTTTTATCCAAAAGGGCATTCCGTATAACTGTTGTATCAAGTTTAATCTACATCTCAAATGCACAATTTATAAGTGGAATTATGATTTTTTTTAAAAAAAAGTCAAATTTAAGATTAAACCTCAAGCACATTAAGAGTCCACTTGGCAATTTAATATATAAATATCCAATTTTGATTGTTCTTATTTTTTTAAAAAACATTCTTCCATAGAAGAGGAGCTGCCATCATTTATAAATACTGGGGGTCCTCGATTTGAGTAGATTCTATTTGAGTAGATTCGATTTGAACAGAAAATTTTTTACCCACCAAAATATTCGATTTGAGTAGATTTCTTCCTGTTTTCTTCGATTTGAATTGTTTATAAAACAAATATTTTTGATAAAAACATTTCAGAAAATAATTTTAAAACATAAATTTTACTGCAATAAGCGTGAACTTATCATATTGATCGAAAAATCCATACTAAAGTTACAAAATTAAAGTAAAAATTTAAAAAATCGATATAAAATTAACGGTTTTAAAAAGTTCAAATTCAAAAACCCTACAAATTGTTCGGTGAAATAACATTTGCAAAGCTCTCATATTTTTGTTTTGTTTCAAAAACATATTTGTTGTGAATTTCTATTTAAAAACAATATGAATATGCGTTGAAATAAATTAAGGTATCAAAAACACATAGGAAAAGCTAAGAAACGAGGTAAAATGTGCAAAAAATTATCAAAATTTTCTTTGTTTTGATTCATTTTTTGGACTCTGGAACAAAACATGTGATTTTGTATGGATTCTTTGCCTCGATTTGAATAGATTCGATTTGAGTAGAAATTTTTTGGAACAAAACAACTACTCAAATCGAGGACCCCCAGTACTTAATAAAAGTCGTTTGACGACATCTCAACAGCATATTTTCATTAATTTTAAATTAACATTTTTCTTCTTAATCTTAGAATTCTTAATGATTTTTTGCTTCTGCTTCTTCTTATCACGATAGAGAAACATCAAGTACTGTAACTTATTAACAATTAGTATTAAATTCTAATTAAAAATTAATCCTAGAAAAGAGCTTTATTAAGTTATGAATAGAAACAGCCACATTGTGAAGGCACTGATTGCACCCGCAACGGGGAGCGTAACAAGCCAAGCAAAGATTATTGATCGAAATAGTGACCAGTCAACTGTCTTCTTTTCTTGACCTTTTTCACCAAAAACAGCTCCAACAAACACAACAGATCCCACAATGCAGTGCTATGGGAATGAAAATAAAAGGGAAATGAAAAAGGAAAATTGATGAGCATCTTTTGCTTCTCTTTTAAATTGTGTACTTACTGTGCTGGAAATTGGGATCCCAAGTTTACTGGCCAATAACACAGTAGCTGCAGCAGAACTCTCCACAGTAAAGCCACTGATTTTAATAAAAGAATATTTTATGAGTAGGAATTATTTTTTTTGTTATTGCTCTTAGGATGATTTTGTCAATTTTATAGTCTTGTAGAGTTTTTATCGAGTTGTCTGGTTAATGAGAAGAGCATGTCCTATTATCAGGATTTATATTGAGCAGCAAAGTGCCTCTGTAGACTAATATGCAAGACAATTAGTTCAGATTTATTGTGGTAGTTTAAAGTTCTCAGGTTCAAATCCTGCCATATCTAAAATTGTACATTTTTCGAAAGTTATGATATCAAGATTGCTGAATTTTTGAAATCAAGATGAAGTTGGAGATCTCCAGATCATGTTTGATTCGAACCAACTTCATCGAACCTATTGATTGAACAGAGAATAGTTGTGCTTTGAGGTTTAAATTCAATTAACTGATGACAAGATTCTCAAAGTACGACTGTTAACAGATCCAAGATATATAAATCCTTAAGCTTTATAATTAATACTTTGGGTCCTCGATTTGAGTAGATTCGATTTGAATACGATTTTTCTGGAACAAAACACCTACGCAAATCGAGGACCCTCAGTACATCCAAAAAAGTCAAACAAGGCTTAGTCAATGTCGAAATCGAACCCATACTCTTAATCAAGGTACTCAGAAATTATAATCAACTCGAATAAAATTTGCCAAAATTCTCGCAACATCACTAAGCTATTTATCACTAGAAGTCTGTATATACTCACTTAATTGGTGTTATTTTGGTAATATTTTTGCCAATAGTATCATTAACTCGTTTGCCGAGTACCCATAAGCCAATAACCATTCCAACACCACCGAAGAGCAGAAGATAAATTGGTGATTCTGATTTTTGTAGTACATTCCCTTCTTTATAAATCATCCAGATGGCAATTAAAGGACCGATTGCATTGCTTACGTCATTGCCGCCATGTGCAAAAGATGTGAATACAGCCGTCAGTGTTTGTAAGAAATGAAATAATCTTTTGACATTCTCTTCCGAGTCATCCTGCTGTTTTATGACCGGTGCACTCAGTGATATTGTTGAGACATTCATTGTCGCAATTGTGCTTACACTACCATTAAACTTACTCTCCAAGTCTCTTGTTTGCTTTGATGATATATTGTCATTTCCATCTAATGGTTGAATCTTCCGTCTTTGCCATGGCACAACAAGCAATTGTACGACTATTGCAACTAAAATCATTGCTGTGATGCTGATGGTAAATGACAACCAAATTGGAATATTTTCCATTCCAAGTACTGTATTTTATTTGCGTATGATGATGATGATGCATTTGAAAAGAACGACATAAAGAAGGAGGAAAGAAATAGAATCTTATAAGTATATAATTCAATGATCTTCGATTGAATAAAAAAAATGAAAAGAAATACATTTTCACATTCAAGTGCCTTTAAAGCTCTTTAAACTTGTTTTTCCGATGTTGTTTGCCTCAATGCCTCAAAAAAGGAAAGTTTTTTCTTTCTATTTCCGTTCTAAGGGTTCATTCACTTATGACGTCCTTAAAAAATTGGATTTTTCAACCCCCTCAAAATCAAATCATTTTTATTCAAAAATAATTATATTATTTGAAGTGCGAGCCCCCACCCCTCTTAAATGATAGACGTCATATATGAACGATCCCTTTATTGATATGAATGAATCAGATGGAGGGCATGGTACGAAGAATATTATAAAAAGGAAAAAATTTTGAAATAAATTATAGCATTAGATGGAGTCTCGAAATGAAAGGAGGGAATGCGAATAATGATGATGATTTTTCTTTCATTACGTTTATTGATTATGAATGTTTAGAAATTCAGTGAATGAACGAAATTGAAAGAAAAATAGACCAAACGGAATGTATATAAAAAAATCAATTTCATTGAGAATAATGACCCGAGCGTAGAAAGGAATCATAAAAGGTAAAGAGAAAAATTCACTTTGCCGTCATGCCAATTATTATGTATATTTTTATTTCACTGATGATATTGATTATAAGAATCGTGGAGGTTTAATGATATTAAGGTCAAGTGTCAATGACATGGGATATTAAATGGTATGTGAAATTTCATAACTTTTGTGTTCAAAATCTTGACTTAAGTATTGTCAGGTTGAGCTTCATGGTGGTTTCAAGATCACCAAAGACCTAAGGTTCTTCCTCAAACTTATTTAGACTTCAAAGTTTATATTGGAAACTCTTTTCCTATCTGATGAACTTTATCAGACACTACTCTCACAAGAATGTCACACAAAAGTTCAATCATATCCAATATCCACAAAACAAATTAATTTTCAAGTTCACTGCAACTACGTTTCAGATTCATCACGTTCATCCTCAAATGAAACAAAAGACACAGGACGTGGTCTGGCATTCAAAAATATTCACAACCTTCAAGAGTTCTGAACAATTCACAACTTTTGCTTTTCAATAAATCAAATTTTCATTTGTGCAACCTCTCCAAACAGATCTCTGTTCACCCTCAGTTGCTTCCAATCTTTTTCAATTACCTTAACGAAAAATTTTTTTTGGTCGTACTTACTTTTCTCATTTTTGGTTTATAAATTGAATGAAAAGAGAAACAAAAAGACATTAGGAGTTGCTTTCTTGTTTGCTTTTTTGACCCAAAAGGATGCCGAGATGCAAAGATGTCGTGTTGGTCTCACCCTTTACCACCGAATGTTCTATTCAAAGTGTCAGATCTAAATAACCCTTCCCCCTTGATCTTGTGAATACATGGCTGTAGTTGCCTTACTAGACTCCTCGGGTATCCACAAAAATAGATTTTTTTTTGTCCTTCAAAAATTCACTAAAGACTTAAAATTTCATTTGAAAAAGTAAACGAATGACTTTTAGGCAGGAACAATAAGAAATTTTTTTAAAAGAACAATGTTTGGGTATTTGAAAGTCTGAATTGACTTAGTTGAATTTATTTTGTCAACTTTTTAGAGCTCCGTTGACTCACAAAGCAAAGAAAATCTCGAACTTTCCGCTGAACTTATTTTCAGTCTCATGCTGGCAATGGCTGTGAGGGAAACTTTTTAATTAATAATTTAGCTAGCGAAGAAACTGACGATGAAAATTCATTCATCAAACAGAAGCTTGTCTAAGAATAGAACGCTAGCTTCAATGTTTAAAGTAGACTAATTTTCTGAGGATGGTAAAATTGTTGGGTAGCGTTGAAATTAGTTTTTTGAACTAGATTCCAATTCCTGGGGTGTAGTTGCAAGAAGGGAAGCAAAAGAAAGTAAGCAAATGGGGGAGGATGGAGTAATTCAAGCTCCTTGAAGAGAACCATAGAGATGAAAATGAAATTGGATTTGAGCAAGAGGAGTTTTAGGTATCAACCAGTAAGTCTACATATAAAAGTGACAGGCGAGGGAGAATCAACATAATGGGGAACGTAACAAGTGCACGATCCCCTTGGCAATTGCAATAAAACTTTCTTTAAGTCATCTAAGATTGATTTTGTAAGCTATATAATTTATGACAATATTAACTTATCCAATGTCTTCATGACCTACGTAAAATCGATCACAAAAAACTTTATCATGGCAACAACTTTCATTCTCGAATTTCTTTAATGTCATGTCTAACATGTTGTGATGTAATTTGAGGATTATAAATCAAGAGATTTTTCCAGACGATAATTTGTGGTAGAAACAATTCATTGAACATTGCTTTATAGATTTAAAATTAAATCTTCTGTATCTCAATTTTATTATTGCTTCTATAAATAAATCATGTGGAGACTTTTTAACTTTGAAGAAGTTATCCTCAAGAAGAATGACAGAAATGAGATATTTTTTTTTTCTGAGAAAAGCTTTAAAGCATCTTAAATTTTCTTTCTATGCGAGCACACAGTGAGTTAAAAATAGCAACTTACATTTCGATCCATCCAATGTGACGCTCAGCACGTTGACGAAAATTGTCAAACCGTAGATGATAGGCAATGCGATAAGTCCCGAGTTGACTGGATTCTCTGATTTGATTATTAATTTTTGAATCAGTGAATATATCATGATGCTCACGAGACCGCTGAAAAGTGGCGACACAAACCACGAAAGCACAATGGAACCTGTTGATTAGATGTTGATGCATTTATGCGTTAATTGAATTTTTAATTATAAAAATATCAGATTTCATTATTGAGTGGCGATGGAGACATTAATAAAATTTATATTTTTAATTATACTTTAGCTGTTCAGGGCTGCAGCATGAAAAAAATAAATGTTGAGGATTTTCAAACTTTTTAAAACAAAAATCATTTTTCCAAAAAAAAAAAATCTTAAAATCTTTATTAAAGGGATGAAAATCTCATTCGAGCCTTATGCCCTGCCTTCACCAAAATTTCAACTGCTATCTCATGTTTCCGTTCATCAAAATTCATATCAATATCACTTAAACTTACCCAATGTCGTTAAATGTAATCCTTGTGTGCCGTGGGCTACTAAACTGAATCCAACAGTTGATCCAACAATGCTATGTGTTGTTGACACTGGTAATCGAAAATATGTAGCAACAAGAAGCCAAATAGCACTTCCGATCAATGCCGATAGCATTCCAAACATAAGCATCTTCTCGGAATTCTGATAAATTGAGATATCAAGGATTCCCTACATCGTCGAATAGCAAAGAAAGAAGGAGAAATAATATTAAGTTTGTGAGCTAGAGTAGCCATACCTGAACTTCTCATGAAGGCATAGAAAAGTTGCAAAATGTTCGACATTAGGCTGTTAATGAATCTGAATTTACGCTAGCCAGATCAAATTATTTCGTAACTTTTCTATCCCGTATGCCATTCAAGACAGCTTGGTCTGGTTACATACCTTTCTTATCGTATCAGCAACTTTATATCCAAGCAGTACGGAACCGGATATTTCAAATATTGTAGCTAGAATGCATGCTTGCTTGAATGTTAAAACACCAGAGCCAACACTCGTTCCGTAAGAATTTGCAACATCATTTGCTCCAACAGCAAATGCTAATATGAAGGCAATGATAAATCCAAATATCACTATCCAAAGAATTTCACTTGAGAATGGCTCCATTTTATATTTTTTGTAAAATTTGTATTTATCTGTCTCTATAGAATACGAGAGTCTCACTATATCACATTTATTATGTCATTTAACAGAGTTTATGTTCACTAACTAGACATGGGAAGACATAAGAAAAAGCACATGAAAAATATTGCGAATGGCAAGGATAGAAAATATGGTTTTAAATTTTAAATTTTATTTCACTTTACATCCACTTCACTAGATGCATTCAACACACGAGACTCTTGCTACAGTTATGAATGAAAGATGAGTAATGAGACACTAGAATTGTTAAGTGACTTCATATATATATAGACGAAGTATAAAGAAAAATGTAGATAAGTCAGTCACGTTTTTTTATCAATACACGAAAAGAATCAACGACTTGTTGAGTAATTATTTAGCGAGGGAAGTAACAGCTTTTGTTTAGTTTATGATTTTTCACTGTGATATCATTCTTAGCTCTTCTACTTTTTATCGCTATTTCATGAATAATTTAATGTCACTGGGAGCAGATAAATTTATGAACTATAAATATTTTAATTATTTTTGGAACATCCAGGTTAATTACGTCATATATAAAATATTAATGAAATGTGAACTTAAAATTTCTCATTGAGCTATTGCTTTTCATCAATCAGCAATCATGAGCAATCTCTTAGACTAATATATGGGCGTAGCTTGTCGGTCCGATGGGATGCAAAAATTCATTAATTTTACATTTCATTTATAATTTCACTCAGCAGTTAACAAGTTAAATATTACAAATAATTAATTTCATGAATATGAACCTTCATATAAGCACCAACCATTTCGAATCAAAAAAAGTGAATGATGTATTCATGTGTTCGTTGACATTTAATTAACATTAATTAATTTTAATTTATGATCAATAATTTCTTCAAATTAATTCGAGCCAAAAGTTTATGATGTGGAAATAATGCGTTGTATGTTCTTTGACATTATGGCAAGCTTCAAATAAATTATAGCCATAAAGTCAAGTGAAATGAAATAAATATCAAGCACTCCTTAGAAATCTAGCTTCAGAACCATTGGTATTGCACTCAACATGATGATTCTGGATATTTCGGAATCTTATTATATTAGACACAGTTGGTCTGGATGCAACTTGATCTAAATCCGGCTAGGTTCAAATACAAATTTCAACATCCCTCGTCTTAATGACAATCTTCCAAAGATTCAAAATTAGTAAATTCACAATTTACTCGACCCTTTTATTCTTCCTTAATTCTCAAGAACTTTCCAAACAATTACCTTCCGTTTAATAGACAATTAAGGCAGTAAATTAATTGCTCATTTTTGTATTAAATTGCTTATAAATGCTCCTCAGCTCAATAAGCAAAATACTGGAGAGAGTATTACTGAATAGAATCAACGATCATCTTGAGGATAACAACATCATCCCAAACCAGCAGTGCGGCTTCCGGACTGGAAGATCAACATCTCACCAGCTCATCAAAGTGATCAAATCAGCAAAAGAAAACTTAAACAACAAAAAGTCAACAGGCATGATCTTCCTGGATGTAGAAAAAGCATTTGACAGAGTCTGGCATAACGGACTCTTGTACAAAATGCTCAAACTGAGATTTCCACTGCCACTTATAAAAACTGTAAGATCTTTCCTCAGTGAAAGATCTTTCTCAGTTTTTATTAAAGGTCAGTTCTCAGAAATCAAGGTAATCAAATTCGGAGTGCCACAAGGAGCAGTGCTTTCACCAACTCTCTACAACATCTTCACGTATGATGTTGTAAGAGAGACAACCAACAACATCGGTCTTTTCGCAGATGATACAGCACTGTATCATTCTGCAGAGAACTCGGCCGATATTGTGACACATCTACAGCACACAGGAAGAAAAGTTCAACAATACATGAACAAATGGAAGATCAACCTCAACAAACAGAAGACTCAAGCCTTATTCATCACAAACAGGCACTCCAGGCAACTACCAGGAAATAACATCAAATTTCTCAACGAAAACATCAAATGGGAAACAGAAGCTAAATATCTGGGAATGGTGATCGACAAGAGAGTGACATTAAAGCCGCATGTGGAGTATGTGACCAATAGGGCTCACACCGCATTAAGACAGCTTTATCCGCTCATCAGCAGGAACTCACAACTCGACGTACGAAACAAACTTCTCATCTACAAGCTAGCCATCAGACCAATATTCACATATGGTTGTCCAGCGTTTGGAAGCATGGCAAAAACCCATCTTCAAAAACTTCAAGTACTGCAAAACAAATTCTTGAGAATTGTTCTCAATAAAACAAGATATGAAAGGATCACCGATCTTCATACAGAAGCGAAAATACCGTCCATCGAAGACTACGTCGGAAAGTTGCAAGCGAACTTCAACAGTCGTCTTGCATCTCAAAACACCGAATAAATCAAATGAAATACAAAAGAAAGTAAAATCCGTAAATGAAATCTAAATTAAGAGACAAAAGGCAAATTGAATGCCTGAAACCTTAAAACAAAAAGCAACAAAATGTATAGAAACTTTGTACATACTTAAATTTAAATGTAAATAAATAAAAAGTTTAATTTAAAAAAAAAAAAAAAAAAAGCTTATAAATGCTCATTAAATTCAATTTGTCTTAATCTGTAGCCTATTTATCATATTCAGCTCACCTTAGAAAATTTCGGAACAAAAGATATAAACATGTGGAACATTGAGAATCTTGAATAAGCGTAAAAAACTTTGAGTTTCTTAAAAAACATTTTTTAATCCACAATTTTCAGCACAGACGAGAAACTTTGATTGATTACGTGTTTATTTTATACAGTAATTAATTATCTCAAACTTCCAACATTCTACAGACACTTGCTTGCTTTTGTTTTGATTTATGTTAATCCTGAACATTAAAAATTGAATGCTAGAATGTAAAATCATTCGCTATAAACACGAGACATTAAGGTGAGATAGCTTTTTTAAATATGACAATAAAAATCACGAATAAACTCCATAAAAAACATTGTAGCCAAAAAGAGAACTTTAGTGCAGAGATATGAATGCAAACATTTGTTCAGAGTACATACAAAAAAAATTTCAAGTCCAATTGTAAAATTATATTCGCACTTATTCACTGAAGAGATTATTCATTGTGTTTAATTAAGTTTTTAATGGTTTTTAAACTTCCTATTTGCGGAATAAATGAATCATAGATTGTATGAAGATTTGAGTATTTTTAACATTATGCTAAAATTAGTATCATCAGGCAAATATTGGTTCTTTGACTGGTTAACAAGACTATCATTATTTGTTGACGTTTATAGAATACTGGGATTCCTCGACTTTACTTTTTGTATAATAAAGGTCCAATTCATATCGAGGAGCCCCGAGTAATTCTTTAATTCTATTTCGTTATAAACAACGTGATATCTGAGGATGGTCACTGATTGCCAATGTTGGGATCAAGGGTGTGGTCCTGATGAAATCATCAAAAATGATCAAAAAATGATCAAAAATGATCAAAAAAATGATCAAAAATGATCAAAAATTATCAAAATGTAATTCTTTAGTTCCACACCCTTGGTTTGGATTTTTACAATCAGCTGTCACTTTTGAGTGAGAAGAAACCAAGCTTGTCCGAAGCTTTTTCACAAAAATGCCCTACAACGTGTTAAGCATCTCTAAAAAAATTCCATAAATATTCACACTGTTTATTGTATTTAAAATCTAGGTTATTTCCTTACACAAAAAAGAGAATAATTACAAATAAATTTACAAAGTTTATAGCCATTTATAAAGCTACAATAAACGTTACAGTTATTTATTTAAACTTTACAGCTATTATTTATTTGCACAATTCATCACATGTAGTTTCACATGAATTAGAAAAAAAAAATAATCGGTTCACTCATATTTGTATGCTTAGCAGTGCAATATAAAATAATTGCATTAATAATAAAAATAATTAAGATTGTAAGACAGACTATTTGTACATTTTAAGATATGCCATATAAAATTTTAATATGTCATCCGCGATAACTAATATCAGCAAGAATTAAAAAACGTGATGCACGCGTGTTTAATAAAATTTGGAAAGCATGTAGCTAAAGAACAAAACAAATGTACGAAGGGTGTAGCTCTTCACTCATTTAAATGTGTCTCAAATGAACGTCAAGTTTGAAGCTTCAGGCACACACGCATTATCTTTTGAATTTTTCACTACCCTTGTGAATTTCTGGGCGTGCAGATTTGCCAGCAAGTCACACTTTATATATGCATGAAATGTGACCTTCAAGATTTATTGTTTGAGTGTTTATGGCAATCAAAGGTGACATTTCAGTAGATTCATTTAGTCTGATGTTATTGCATGGCATAGACTGTGACGCTGATAGACATCTGCAACCCTGTAAAGCAGGCTTTAACTTGACTAAGAAAAGTTCGTTGATTTTGTCAAAAAATTGAAAATTCACCCCGTTCCCTTGAATACCCTCCTGAAGTTTACCATCAAGTTGTTGTCTCCCTCGAATTTCGAGTTCAGACCTGATGACAAAGCTATATGAGATTTTTGAAGAGAAAAATAAACTCGTTACTGCGTTGTGATTCCCTCTGTGGCTTTGTTTACAAAGAAGAATAAGAAGCCTTTGTTTCTGGCGCCGGTTAAAAGGACTAAAAAAGGCCTTTTATAGGATTAACTGTATGGTATTCATTCGTGTAAAGATACATGAATATATCATTTCAGAATAAGGCTTAACATTAAAAGGTTTAGGTTAAATGTTTTGAAAAAGGTACTGAATGAATTTAGACATGCTGTGTTGTGATATAATCTTGTTGAAAACAGTCAAATGTTGAGTTTATGGATTAATTGTCATCAAGCATGTAAGCGCTCTTGTCTAATGAAAGTATTCAACATGTTTGCTGTCAATTCTTTCATTTCATAAGTGCGATTACGTTCTGCTTGTTAAATATTCATATTCAGACGACGAGAGGATGAAAAAAAAAATCCAGCATGTCTCTTCATTCATTTTTTGTCCACAAATTCTCGAGAAAAAAAATGTCAAAAGATGCCTGACCAACGATAACTTTTTGTGTGTTTGAGCCTAAATTTGTTTTTGTTGCATAAGCAATAAAGAGACGCTCTTAAATCTTCTTAATGGCTTAAAAAAATTTCTTTAAAGGAAATGCAAAGAGGTCATTAACATTGATGGTGCTTTAAAATCTGAAATTTTATTTGATTTTAACGCTAATTGGTGCTTTATGTCTTAATAATGAGAATTTGAAAGGAAATTAATGGAATTTTTTTAAATTGGATATTGAATATGCTGATTAGGGGAATGCTGATACGAACAATTCAAGAGTTTCGACCGTTACAGTTTCCAAGAACACTTGTAAAAATGTCTTATTTGTCTGTCTGCCATGCAAAATTCGAAGTTTCATACCCTGCAGTTCGAAATTTTCGAAAATTAGGAAATATTAAAAACTTAAATTAAGCAATTTTTTCGTGAATTTTAGATGAAAATATTATTTTATCATTTGATAATAAGCATAATATAGCTAAATTTGTTTTCAAAACTATCAAAAACTTGAATAAAATGACCAAAAATTGTAACGGTTTTTCAAATTTAAATTTTTCGAACGTGCATATTAAAACACCCCTAGACTTTCGATAAGTCTGTCGAACATGAATTGAACGTATCAGGGGGAATGTAGATTTTAAAAATCTGAAAAAGTTATAACCAAACATAAAAGACTAAGTTTAACTGATTTTGTTTAAAACTCATAAGATCCAGGAGACTAAATTTGCAATTGAATTAAGAAGCAAATCCAGCAGAATGTTGAACAGAAGCTGTCATATTTTAATATTTTTCAAGAAAAATTTAAAGCTTTTGGGAAGGAGGCTTCCCAGAGGGGTGTATGCATACTTTCAGAGACAACACAAGTCTGATTCGAGTTAAACCAAATCTTTTGCTTATGTTAGCCTTTCTCAAATTATTGTCCTTAATACAGTAACTCTATCGCTTTTATTTAAAGGTCTCCTAACCTCCACAGAATCCAGCTAGACGTTACACACTCAAAGACACAAAGAGCACATAAAACTGATTTATCGATCCCCTCATTTAAATATTTATTGATTCATCTTTGCTAACCTTAGCATTTTGATCCCACAACTTCAATCGACTTTTAATGCTACCTTTAAAAAAACATTTTTTTTTCGACCCAAAAGAACATTACATGCCATAAAAGAGAAATAACGGAGGATAAAGGAAAGAATATTTAAAATTTATGGAAACTAAACAGCTGATAAAGTCAATATTTTTCATGTTATGACAAAAAAAAAATCGCATTTACCGCAAAAGATCTTTTGGATTTTTTTTTTTGTTCCTCTCCTTCATCATTTGGCTCCGTCTCTTTCTCTGAATACTAATAACATCATTATTATTCCTTTTATTATTATCTCGTCCTAGACTCTTTTCGTTCTTGTTTTTTGGGGGTTGTTTGTAAATGATGTGAATGCATGTGAACCTTATCAGGGTTCTATAACAGAATTTAAGACTTTAAACGAGTTGAATTGGACTGCAATAGCTTTAAAAAGTGATTATACTTTCTTTTAAACAAAATAAAGTATCTGGGCACCAAATACCCTAGCGATGTCACTCATTGGATGTGTCACTTAGTTTCAGGCTCTCTTTCATTTCCAAAAACTCGACAAAACTTATAAATTATTTTTGATGCCCAAAGAGATAAGGTTGATGAGTGCCAGTTCAAGCTATTCTACGCGTACGTTTATAAAAAGGCAAAAAAAAAGGTACAAGTGGCAATGTTGATTACCGTGCTGGAGGGCAATCAAAATTTTATTTTTTTTTTCTCTCTTATTTTAAATTTTTAAGTCGGTTCCCCAATAAACTTTTTTTATAATTATTATTTCCATGAATATTGCAGTAATACAGTTCAGTCTCAAGTTCCTTCAAATTAAGTACATCGAAGAAAATATTATTGGCAAGACTGATTTACTTCGTGAGCATTAAACACACAAATACACTTTCTGTGAACAAATAAAATCCATTAAAAGATTCTCAATAAGATAGGATTTTGGAATGCTTGAGTTCTTGAGTGAAAGTTTAGTTAAGAGTTGGAGTGCTATGCTAGCGCATTGGATAAACTCTTTTGATTTTGAGTTTATCTTACGAAAACTTGTGTGGCGAATGGAATGTAATGAAATTGAAGTGTATCGATGAAAATCAACTGTCAACAGACTTCCGTTTCATTAGGAAATTCTGAGAGTTTCAATTTTGGATTTAGGGAGAATTTTATGAATTTTTTTTTGTTCTCATATAGAATTTTGGAGTTTCGTGGTCTGCAAGAACATGTTTAGGTATCAGTCATCACCCTTCTTCCATTCTTATACAAAATCTAAATAGAACGGGCTTCCTGCTTTGGTGATTAACTTGCCACTTACCCGACATGTCTGTGTATTTATAAGGAACACAATAAGTGTTATTTTGGATCTAATATTCATCCAATGCCTTCAAAAAGGAATAGAACTTCAAAGTAACATGACATGCAATTACAGAAACCACAGAGGAGAGGCATAGTCAGTGAGAGAAGTTGAGCTCTAAAAATCTACAAAACAATCAGGAATATATTGTATACAATTTGATAAGCTTCAGATAATCACATCATCAGCAGACTTCGAAACAAGATATTTGCCTTCAAGGTAAGTCTTAAGACAAGCTTAATAGAAACCAATAATCATCATCTCGAATATTCTGTTTACTCAAAGGTTTTGAGAACACTTTCTTGGTGAGTAACAAAAAAAAACATATTTTGAACGTGTTGTTGTGCTGTATTTTGTTTTGTTTAAGTTGCTGTTATAGATTAAATCCAATGCTAGCAAACAGAAATTTTTGAGTTCTTATTATTCGAAATTCGAATTTTTGAGGTTCTTATTTTTCGAAAGTCGAATCTTCGAAGTTCTTATTTTTAAAAAAATTCGTTGTGAATTATTATTTTTCGAGTAATTTGTAATTTTAGTGAACATTCCTACTAGTTTTTATGATTAAGATAATCACTGTGATGAAATTGCATTCCTTAAATGTTTATGCTTTAAAAAACAGCTAGTTAAAAAAAAATAAAAAGTAACGGACTTTCTTATTTTGAAATTTTAAAAAAATACCGCGCGAAAATTTTGAATTTTTTTTGTTTGCAACGGACTCTGTTCTCTTTGCTAACATTGGGATTAAATAAACAAATTAAGAATGAGAATGACAAAAATAAGATGAGTCAAAGAATGTCTGCATAAGTACGGAAATAACTGGATATAACCAAGATATAACATTAAAATGACTGAAAAACATCATGGAAGGACATGCAAATGTAGACAACAAACACCATTAGATGCTGAATTTTAATCAAGGCTGAGGATTCTTTAAAACAAATTAATAAATCAGATGAGATGCTTGAAGATGTTTGGATAGATATTTGGACCAAGAAAAAAAACATGTGATTCACATGATGCGAAAGCACAGCTTTGGCTTCTTTAGTATTGTCAACATAGTTTGCGAATCTTTGCAATAGCTTGAACATTCTAATTTACAACCTTCTGTTGGGATTCAAACGTATATCTTTAACAAAAGACAATGGAAAATACAATTTCTTAATAACAAGACTAAGAACGATCGAAATGACATTACTTCCATTACTTAGCCGCAAAAAAATATGATTTTGAGTAATAATAAATCATAAAGTTGGAAGAGTCATGAGCAGCCAACTCATTTATGATCCATGTCTTTAAAAAAAATAAAGGAACTAATTTTATTTTTAATAGCAGCATAAAGTTCTTTAATTGATAAATTTGACAAAAATCTACAACAATACCAACAATTTTAATAAATCATGTCAAAAACGTTTCGTTATCCTGACCTGGTATCTTAAAACAAGTTATGTTCCCGAAAAAAAAAAATTAAAATTCATTAACATAAATCAATACTTAATTATAACGAATATGAATATGCCCGTCAATGGACACGATTTCGATCATTAATATCTGTGGCAAAAAATTCACTTCACTGAATTTAATTTTTAATTTTCTTTGTTTCTCTTCTTTCCGCTCGCTGCTTGAGTGAGCGACAACGTCATATGCGATGAAAACAAGTATGAAAAAAAATGAGCAACTCGCCGCTCACATGCATAAAAACAAAATTCTAAAGAATTTCAATGCAGTTAATTTAAAACAAAAAAAGAACCTGGTTCACGAATTTTTGTATTGTTCCTTTTTTTTGTAGAACAAAAACTTGATTTTTTTAACAGGAATTCTTCTCTGTATCTCGTTCGTCATTCCTCATTCTCATTTTTTTTTATTACACTCGATTCTTTCATCACGACACTCCCTACACAGTTGCACGAGATAAACTTTCACCGCGCGAAAAAAAAAATTAAATAAATTTACATAATTCATCCTCAACGCCTTTTCTGCTTTGATAAAGTGATTCAAGGTCATATCAGTTACAATTTATCATCATAAAACAAACAATGAAAAGGTATATGGAGGATTACGGTAGCTACAGAGTGAGCAACAATTGTGAAGAAATGAAAATCTATGCACCTGTTGAACCGTCCGTAATGATAATATTTCCTTAAGTCTCACTTTCTCTCTTGCTTGCCATCCACAAACTTTATAAAATAAATATTTTTTATGACTTTCCACGATGTACTTTATAAAAAAAAGTAAAATAAAGAAGAATTCCGAAAGTGGCAATGTTAAAGCGTGTTCACTACACCGCACTCCAGATGAGACTGAAGCCATGAGAAGCGAACGAAAAAGGTAGATGTGGCGAAAACATACTGATATATTTAAATTGTATTTTCTTCACAAAAAATAAACAAAAAAAATTTATTTAAATGGCAATTCTACGAAAATTAATGATTTTTGTTTGGAGCTTATTGTGTTGAGTTCTGATGCTTGCTTGCCTTATTTTTTTTTTTTTCATTTTGAGAAAAAGAAGAAAAACAAAAATTAACCGCATTATACTCATGAATATGTTTTTTTATGGATGTTACGTAGAAAGAATTTCCTAGCTCAAGGTTGAATTCAAGCGTGGAATTTTGTTGTGAATTTAATCTTGTCTTGTTTTGTGGATTTAGTTTTTATAATGACATTAAAAGTTAAATTTGATTAGCAAATTATTTTATAATTATGTGACCATTTTTTGAGAACTAGAAGCCCTTAAAAAGGTTATCTCCCCCCCCCCCCTCCCCAAAAATGAACAATGTTTTGGCTACGACCCTGACGGGTTATTGAGCAACACTAGTGTCTGGAAGCAAAACCACCTCTAGAAAAAAACAAGTTCATTTTTTTTATTGCATTTAACATTCATGGGTACCTGGAGTTGAGTGAGGAGGGCGGGGGGGAGGGGGGGCTAGAGTTACTAAATTTGAATCAATTCAATCTTCATGGACGGCAATTGATTGATCTTAGTACAAGCCTTTTATTTAGGTATAGGAGGGACTAAGATTTTGAAAAGACGATCCATTTTTTACAGTCATCATAAAATAACGACCCCGGTCTCATTATTTCATTTCGAATAGATGTCAGAAGCTAAAAATTGCTAGCTTTAACAATGTAGATGAACATCATGTATTCAGGAAACAAGAAATCGAATGATTAAGCCACAATGTTGAAAAAGTAATAATCTTTTACTATAAATGAACCTGATTACTTTTCGCACTAAGATTTGCACATTAAATTTTTTTAATTTAATTCATGCTGTTAAACACTTTGTCGTCGACATCACATTCTGCTTTAATGAAAATTACTAATTAAATAATTTTATTATATTTTTATGAATATGGATGGTAGTTTCAGACTTAGGAGTCATTCACGAATGACGTCCATCAAAAACTTGGAGTTTTTGGATTTTGTTAAAGTAGTTTATGAGAAGTAGAGCAGACAGTTTTTTGGATGAGACAGATTTTTAACTGAGCTTAACGATCAGGCGCGTAGCCAGGAGGGCTTAGACCCCCCTTAAACGTTTTGAACCGTTGCGAGAACATGGTCTAAAACGCTTAAGAGGGGGACAAGAACCTCTTGGCTACGCGCAAGTTAACGATGAATATGGGGTAAGACTCGATCACCCCCCCCCCCCCCCCCCCCCCCCCCACTCTTCCTATGTTATTGTATAAGTTCTCTCATTTCATAGAATTGTCCAAAATGATCTCATTGGTATGCTTGCATGTAAATTCTCCCATAAACAATGACTCAATTTGTTTTAAAATTATTTCGGATGAATCATTTTAATTCCATTGTATCTCTTTCATTGTTTATGTCCAATTTATAGAAAGTTTATTCCTCTTAAATCTTTCTTTATAGCAGCGATGGAAAACTGTTGTGAGATATAACACTTTGATGTTTTCTTGAGCAGAGAAGACATTCCATGACATTGAAGGATCTCCATGAATGTCCATAACAAAAGTTTTTTCAGCACTGTTTTATAAAAAGACTGTTGAATACAAGGATGAATAATTTTGGATAAAATTGTGTCATTTAAAGGTGAAGAATCAGGGATTGTCCGCAGATTACGTCACGCTTTGGGAGGGGGGGGGGGGGGGGGGGTTGTAGAAAAAACATACAAAGTTACATACAAATTTTGTGAAAAGGGGGGGAGGCAGTGTATCAAAAGAGTCCCTTTTAGTGCTTGACGTAATTTTTGAACGACCCCTTGGTCGTGGATTATCCAAAAAAAGTATGTCAATGCATAGGGTTCGTTCACTTATTACGTAACGCACTAGGGGGGGAGGGGGGGTCTAAGATTTTGTTACGCTTTGTTACAGGGGGGGGGAGGGGGGGTCTAAAAACTCGTTTTTTTGCGTTACGTAATAAGTAAACGAGCCCATATGAAATTGTGTAAATAAACAAGGAAAAAGTAAGAAATTTATTTCGTGATTAAATGTCTACATAAAAAAAAAAAAAAAAAAACCTTTACCTATTCAGATCAATTGTGATCCAGAGGTGCGCTAGGGCGATTCACAGCTAATGAGAGTTTAACGAGTGAGGATGCGCCAAACCACTGCACTCAAACCTAGACCTACAATTTATAGTAGGATCCGAACCACTCCTTTGATGACATTTCTGTCTGTAGCCTACAAAGGAAGGCTGTGAGCCTCATTTCCAGTACATATGATTCGAAAAAGAACAAGTGAAAAATTTCCCATACCCAGTCTCGAACCCATGATCGCTGTGTCGGTATTGCAATAATTAGGTACCGAAGTACTAAACCATTCCGCCACCGAGCCACTTCAGCTCTCGAAAATGTCTACATACTTTGTTGATAAACATGTTTTGTTGATTCAATTATTTTCTGTCTACTCGCTTTGTATCTCATCTTAAATATGATATTTGTTTGCGTAGCATGTCTCAAGAACTTACTCATTAATGATCAGAGAATTGATTTCTAAGTAAATGCCATGTGATTATTATTTAATAAATACACATGACGTCTGATTCCAAGAACTTTTTTTTTTTTTGCAAATAAGTTGCTAATTTTTTTGTGGATTGATGATCAGCAATTTTGTTGTGATTGGTGTTTTACAACAAATACAGCAGGGTGAGTATGTGTTTAAGAGAAGAGGTCTGAGACTCATTGGACTCTTGGAAACGTGCCTTCAACGTATTTGAAATTAAAATAGGTCAGTTCTGACGTTAGACTCCGTCACCCATTAGACACGTAGCCCTAGACATGAAAGTGATTGGTTTCTTATGACTACGCCATTTGACCGAGACTGCTGCTAGTGACGCATAGTATAAGTTCTAAGCTATTGATAGAATCAGTTCTGCAGATTATTCTTAAAAATACTCCGTTCTAGTCAGTATCTATAAATAGTCTAATCATATTACTTCTAATCCACACATTAAATTGCTGAATCGACAAATATTTCCATGAACAAGGTTATTTTACCCCATAACAGTCGATAATATCACTCATAAACTATCTTTATACTAAACTTATTCATTAATATCAATCAGTTTATTTTCGTTACATTTCCATTAACATATCTTCTTCATCGAACCTTGTTTGTGATAAAAATATATTTCACAATAACAAAAAAGTCCATTGCGTCATAATATCAACAAGTATGTGCTGATGGTAAAAAAACATAAACCCATGTTAACAAAATTCTACGAAAATCATCCGCATTTTTAACATGATCGAACAAGTGTTGAATTTCACATAATGAACAAACAATAGGGAAATTTGAATTGCTAATGATCAAGGGCGAAGAATTGTGTTTTGATGAAGATTTTGAAGGTTATTAAATAACGGATTTTTGAAATTTGAATTTTCAGGTTGTTTTTTTCTAGTTTAAAATTTGAATTTCTTTTAACCGTTATTTTATTGAATAAACATCATTGTTGTAATTATGAATTTTAGGAAGTTTGGAGAAGTCAAAGATTTCTCTACAAGATAGCAACAGAATAACAAACTCATGAATTTCTCGATTCTACTCATATTAAACAGATTCACATATGACGAAGTTCTCACTTTAGATTGTTGACTTTACGACCAGCAACAAAAAAAATACTATAAAAAAACTTTTTTAAAAAAGCACGCTTTTATTTCCGATTACAGTGCACTAAAAAGGAGAAAATAATTTTTTTCTGAGAACTCAAATTTGATACAAAATTTTATGACTAAAAATAAAAGCGTGGGGCGTTCAATTTAAATCATCTCTAGATTTTCTATAATATATTCACAAACCTAATGCTTGTTTAAACATATATGGATTATTTTTAATTGTCACAAATTCAAGATTTAGTGAAATATGCAAGAGCGCCCCACGCTTTTATTTTTAAGTCATAAAATTTTGTATCAAATTTGAGTTCTCAGAAAAAAATTATTTTCTCCTTTTTAGTGCACTGTAATCGGAAATAAAAGCGTGCTTTTTTAAAAAAGTTTTTTTATAGTATTTTATTTTCTACTTTTTAGTCTTATCAAATCTATAAATCAATTTAACTTCCAAAATTTGGAGCTTTTGTTTCATTACAACCCTGACTTTAACATACTTAATAAGGAGGTTGCAGTTTTTTGATTACCATTTATAAATTACCAGTTTTTAATGGGTTATTAGTAAAGACTATCAAAAATTTTCATTCGTTTTAAAATATTTAAGTCATACCTGAAAACACATGAAACTCTTTTAAAAATGTCCTAACTTCAATTAAAGATTTAGTGTTTATCCGTACCATTCCTACTGCATAACATGTAGATTCTTAACATAAAGATGCAAATCACATCTATATGTAACGTATTTATAACGGATTTTCAAATTTAAATTCAACGAATATCATTTATATGATATGCAAAAATACGTCAAGCCGTTAATAAATAGAAAAGTCAATTTAATTAAATTTTGGTGAAGTGTTATGATATAATGTAAAACATTAAAAACAGCATAAATATATGCTCAATTTATGCGTGCTAAACGAATATCTCATATTTATAGTTATTTTGCATTAATTCGTAACGGACTTTTGCTTAACGGTTTTTTTGAAAATTCAAATTTTCACTTACGTATATTCATGAAAAAATTACTTGTCAATTTTTTTGTCTTACCCGAATATCTTTCGCTGCTCAAATTTATAGTATAATTAATAATTAGTAATATTAATTAAACTATAATGAATCATATAAATGACTTTTGAGCATTTCAAGTATAATATTTAATACAAATCAAAATTTTATATCATTGACATTGGATTTTTTTCCCATATAAAAAAGTTTTACTTAA